TTTACCCAGGAGGTTCAACAAAGTAATGCCCCGATATTTAGAGCATTCCCCGCGGTCTCTTTTCTTGAATAGGGCTACAGTAACTCCCGTTTTCCTGTCCACTGGTTTCTTCCCGTAGTTGTCTTTGCTGTTTCATAGACACGTGTAAATCAGCACATACCTTGTTCGCCCAATGCCTTGAGCATCTCAGGGCGGATTTCATCAGTTCCAGCAGCCTTTCCATTTTTCAAGCTTTTCACAGCTTGTGTAATTTCATCTACAGAGAAAGTAATATCCGTTCCCTACTGCTCCACTGGCGAGTCTTCCTGCGGTTGCGCAGGGTTAAGGAGTTTCTCAAAGTACTCCCTCCATTGCCTAAGATATCATCATCTTCGGTAAGGGGGTATCCAGACCTGTCCTTGAAGACTCTTAGACTGCTTTTTTTCACCTCGGAGCGGCGAATGGTCTACCAAAAGTAGCTTGTTTGCCGACTTCACATTTGACTCTGATGCCTCACTAAACTTCTCTCAGGGATTAGCTTTCGCTGTTGCTTTGCGCCCTTTTTGTCTTTACGTGAGTTCAGGGATGTTTGCCTTCATACCATCTCTAAAATGCAGCCTTCTCGATTAGAGCCAGTTGTAATTCCTGCGTGCACCAAGAAGTTCGTTTCTGACCTCTAAGAGGCAGCGTAAACCCGTTTAAACCGCAGAATTCGGCTGTAGCTGTGAGCAGACCACTCTTAAAGAACTTCCACTCGGGATCTGTTCAAACATCGTGCGATGTTGTTTGCGAGTTTCGCCCTCGTATCCGCCGAAGTTACTGCTTACCATTTAATTCTCTGGTTGATTCTGCCGCCAGGTCGTCGCGTTGTACTCTAGTTCTCACAGTGTAACGTGTTCAACAACAATGTGATGATCGGTTGACAGCTATGGTATCACTTAAGGCGAACATCCGTTACCTGGCGTCGTAAGTCAGCCGATACGATTATCAAATCGATCATGATTTCTGTACACAAGATTGCCTGTACCAGGTATACTGATGCACGCTTCATTGCTCGAAAGTATTCATAATAGATCGTCAGTTGTTTGCACAAAGCCGGAACTTTATGCCATTATTGTTGAAGTCACTAAAGCCGTTTTTTCCAGTTTGTGCCCCGATATGCGCATTAAAATCGACTATTAGAATGTGGGATTCTTAGTGGGCATTTCGTGCAGAACACATTA